TGGGGCGCTGTGGCCCGGGCCAGAGGGTCGTCTGACCTACCTGCAAGGTGCTCTGGGTGGGCTGGGCTGGAGGGCGGGGAGGTCTCCTTAGACCTTTCAGCTCCAGGCAGTTTCCGCTGCTGCCAGCGCCACAGCTGAGCTCGCTCCTGGCGCGTTTAGCGGGGCCCCTGTGCCGGGTGCCCAGGCTGTCCGCCAGGGCCGTGTGTGTGGCGTGCCCCAGGAGGTGTGAACGGGTCAGTGTGGGGGGGAGTGCTTTCCACAGGCCAGCAGAGGCCCCCTATGTTTGCTGCTTTCGGTCAGGCGCGCGGTCCAGCCCCCTCATCTGGCCAGTACCACGTGTGTTAGAGGAAGGTACCAGGGACCTGCAGTCAGCAGACTCTGTTCCTAACCCGTCGCTGGAGAGTGGCACGCACCCGGAAGCCGGTTTAACAGCCTTTCTAGAGCTCTTGTATGCAGGATTTACTGGTGAGCTAGCGAAGTGTCCCGTCCCGCACTGAATCTTGCTAAGAGCTTCACTTCAGGAACATCTTGTGGCAGTGAGTTCCACCGTCTCATCAGGCATCCCCTGAAGTATTTCCTTGCATCACTTTGGAAAGCCCCTCCCCCACTTTCCAGTTCATTGAACATTCTTGTGGTCTTGTGTTGAGAGACAGGAGAACAGAAGAGACCTCCCTCCTCTTGACTCCTCACTGCGGCCCCGGCCCCTCTTGGGTCCTCGCTAAGGCAAACGATCCCCGTGCTTGCAATCCCGTTGCTAGGAGCGTCTTCGCCGAGCCCTGATCATCCGGTAACGCTGCAGTCTCCTGCCTGAGCGGGGAGGCGGTTTGTGCCGTCCAGGTGAGGGCTTCTGGGCGAAGCCACCGGAGCTAACCCCGGCCAGCCAGGCTGTATTGCTTCAAGGGCAGTATTGATGGCCCTGGCCCCACTGTGTCTGGAGAGGCGCAGAGGTCACAGAGAAAGGAACGGGGGGAGGCGAGCTGGATGAGGGGGGTAGAAGTTGAGCCGAACTCTCGTGAGCTCCCCCCCAAAGGTCAATGGAAGCTCAGGGCCAGTGTGTGGGCTGGCTGGGTGGTGCGCTTGGGCCGAGGAAACCG